GAAGTGCTGTAGGTACCGTGGGAAATTGCCTCTTACGAGATGGTGCTTGAGGTGTAGAAAATTCCTGTTGAGTATGTGGCTGACACGGGATAGAGGAAGCCACGGTATGGTGCCACGGTACTTGTGCCTGCAGCTCCGGCTGGTAGGCGTAGCCTGGGTACGGACACGATTGGAATGGAGCATAAAAGAGTGGCCAAACTGTGGTAGTCCTTGCGGATGGTACCCATCGCCTCCATCCTGAGGCTGGCACGGAGCGGTATTTTTGCGCTTTGCAGTATGCTTCCTAGGAGTTTCACGATCAGACTCCTGTTCAGATGGAAACTCGGTATCAGACTGCCATGAGTATCGAGGGCTTGAATGGGCAACAGCCTGGCTGGCATCCGGCTCAGCCTCAAATCGGCCCGAGTTTGGTAGCATGCACATATGCTCTTGAGCCGTCTGGGCTAAAGGAATGTGCTCCTCTGTATCAGAGAGTCCAATTGCTTCCCTTGAAGACTCCTCGAGCAATATTGAAGGAGTGGGAGGAGGTACAACAGGCAACTTAGCTGGTTTCTATTGGTAGCTTTCTTTTTTGCAGGGCGTGAAGGCAGTTTGGCTTTTGGCGGTTTGGAAGCATCCTTAGCCTTAACCGGCACAGAGACGGTAAGCAGCGGTTGGTCTGCCGAAGAGTCCTGTTTAGAAGCCTCAGTATGCGGAGGTCAGTGCTGTGAGGGAGGCGCTTTCCATGTTTGGAGACTGAGTCTTTTCGTAAAGGAAAGCTCAAAGTCTTTGGCGCCTCAGCTTAATTGCTTGCTTTGAAAAACCTTTGCAAGCAGAGCAAGACTGATCTTGATGCGATTCTCCAAGACAAAACAAGCATTTATCGTGTCCGTCTGATAAAGGGATTTTTTGGGAGCAGACGACACACTGCTTGAAGCCCCGAGGGGCCATAAACGAAAAAGAAAAAGGGGGGATCGTTGATCGGGGGGGGGAAACGCGACAGAACAAAAGAAGTAACTTAAAATTAGCAAGTTCTGTCAAATAACCATTAAAGTAAGAGAAAGTAAATAATAAAACAAGAGAAAAAGGTAGCTAGCTAGCTAAGTACTTAACAGTCGATAGCTCTGCTCTTCCTACGTCCTATAGGAATGGCGGAAAAAGAGGAACTGAAAGGAAGATGGAGGAGGCGGGGCTTATATACCCCGCGGGGGAGGGAGCTAACAGACTCTTTTTTTCTTAAGCTCTAGAATCTTCCAGACGTTTCTGCGCAGGCGCAGGATAACCCATTTGTGTGCATTCACAGAGACCACTACGAAGAACAACAAAATTCCAGTAACAAGTTTACTCGTTACCGTTCCTTCTATCCTAAAAGCACAACCACACCTGTATCTGTACATAAATACAGTATACAAACAGCTCAAGAAACTAGGAGTGTGTTAGGAATACCTGATTTACAAATAGAATAATAATAATTGTGTGCTGTCCAGTCAATTCTGACTTATGGAGACCCTTTCAAGGGTTTTCTAGGTAGAGAATACTCAGAAGTGGTTTACCATTTCCTTTTTCTGGGGACATCTGGGACTGTGCAATTTGCCCAAGGTCACACAGGCTGGCTCTACTCTCAGGAGGCACAGTGGGGAATTGAACTTCCAACCTCTGATTCTACAGCCAAATACCTAAACCACTGAGGTAACCAGCCAGCTGATTTACAAATACATACCAATGAATCATTTAATTTCTTTCATGTAAGTTGGACAATATGTCACACTGTGTTCAGTAAGTGTGCACTCCAGTAATTCCATCTTGGACTGAAACCTAAAAATAGCAGTAATCAAATAAATGTATGTTTTCTCATCTAAGTATTTTTGACCAGGAAATAATTTAACACTTACGGTCCAAAATTTAATGAAATATTGTAAATCAGTTGCAACAATGAAAAGGCAATATAAAAGAGAGTATGCCAGAAAAAGAAGGAAAAATTTGTAATTGGAGAATCCGACACAATTGTTCACCCTAGAAAAAAGAAAGAAAGCATAAATAAATGTAAACAGGAACACACATACATTTATTCTCATTTGTAATATTCCTTCAATGCCTTAGGAAAGCATAAGTTTCTCCCTCCTTACTTTTAAAAAGCTAAAGTAATTGATGGAATTTCTTTATTTAAACCATTAACAACTAGGTTGCAAATAATAATAAAAAAGCTAACATATCTGTCCTCACAATTAGACATTTAAATGCCAATACCAACTGTTCAGATTTTCCCCAGGACTGTATAAAAAATGCATGCTTGTCATAGTGAATCCAGGCAGTTCATGCAAACTATAACACCCACATTTGCATAGTATGACTTTCAAAAAGTTGAAATTTTTGATTTTTCTTTTAGCTACTATTTTCACTATTTAGAATTCCTTGCAGAAACTGTACAGCTTGCATAAGCACCCACCATTTAATGTCTCTGGGAGATACACAACTCTTACTTTCCTCATAATAGTTGTCTATTCAATAGTTTCTGAACATACATATTCACCATTATCCTGTGGGTTATAAACCATGCGTCGAATGGTCTATTCCTCTTTTTCCACTGTTCTTACAAGTGAAAATCCACTAACCCCTTATACAGAGACAAATCCATTCTGTTTTCAAGAGTGCAATCTCTGGTTTATCTAACTGCAAGCTAGAGATGACCCAGGCAAATGCAGAGTGTGCATGGAGCCCTTACTAACAGCTTTCTGGCTATATCTCTGAAATATTTGGGGTGGGAGGAGGGAGAGGAAATTCTTTAAGAGGCTGAGTGACCCTCTAATATCATATCAGCAGAAATTCTTTTGTATCTGGAAGATAAGTAATGAAAACTGGACTTCTTTCTTATTAGGTTGAAATGTTTTGCTACTCATCCAAGTAGCTTATTCAGTCTGAGGAGAATTGGTAGGAGACCCCTGATATATCCTCCAGGTTGGTTTCACTTTCCCCTAGTCTGAATAGGCTCCTTAGAAGGACAAAGGACTGGGGGTGAGGGATAATCCCACTTCTGCAGTCGTTCTCCACCTATTGTCAAAGGTAGTTACCAGTGGTCTTTCTGGTGTGTGTGGTCCTGATCTTTCTGGGCAGCATGATAAATAGGAGACAGACTGTGTCTAAGGCCTCCACCCCTGTTGAGTGAAGGATTTTCTATATGCACATGTATGGCCCCCTGACCCCTCTCTCAAACCACCTATCTGCTCAGTCCAAAATGAGTACATCTTGGTCATCAAATGAGTGTCCTTTGTCCCTCAAATGAACACTGCTGATTGTGTTCCTGAGCCATTACCTCTCCTGTGCTGGGCCATTCTCCTGTTTAGTGGCTCTTTGGTTTCTACAGTGCAGAGCTCCAAACACTGCTCTTTGCATTGGACCACATATACCGTATTGTTCCTGTTGTGTTTTGGTGTCCAGTCTTTTGGGTAGACGAGTCTCTGCCTTAGTGTGTTTCTGGGTTTAAAGTGCATGGGTATGGGGTGTTTACCAAAAATCTTTTTGAGTTTCTACACTAACACAAAGATCTGTTTTCTCTTTATCGTCAAGAAAGGGGACCTGTTCCCAGTATATCACCTATTCCAAATTCATTAAGTAACATACTACTTACCAAGGACAATGATGATCCATTTTCAAAATACATCTTTAAGACAAAAAACATTATAGTTAAGATCAAACTATTTACACTAAACCTAAGTTTATAAATGGGCAAAATAAGTTGGTCTTAGGCCATGTCAGTCATACTTATGTCCCACTGAAATTCATGTCAAATATTAGTCACAACTTAGGTATGACTAATCTAAGGCCAACCTATTGTCTCAGAAACAGCATCTCAGCTTCACCAATACTCAAGGTGACAACTTAGTTATTTTCCTCTGACTGGGATTTGAACAATATTAGATTTCTTTCCACTGCTGCATGATTCAAAGTAGTACCTCATCTCTTGCAGTAGACCATAGCATACAGATTTCACTGCAGAAGAAATCTCTAAAATTTCCATTTCAAATACTACAGCCAAAGTGAGTAATCAGATATTTGATCCATTAAATGTTTCTGAATTCCTTGTAAGCAACTAATACCTGAATCAACAAGGATGGGCAATTAATGGCCCCTGAAAAGTTCCTGAATTGCAGCTTCATCACTACTGGCTATGCTGAGTAGAGATTATGTGGGCTGAAATTTTTTTAAAAAAGATGGAAAGTCACAAGTTGTCTCCCTCTGTCTTAGAATGGCTTAGGTCTCTGGCTGTGGAGCCAGAGGTTGGGAGTTCAAATCCCTCTGTGCCTCCGTGACAGGGGTTGGACTTGATGATCCATAGGGTCCCTTCCAGCTCTGCAGTTCAAAGGGTATAATGGTGTCACGTATGGCAGAAGAGGATATAAATACATTTACTTTTGATAACTATTATTTTTAATATTTGACAACACAGAAGGAAATTAAATGCTACATGAGTTCTGTTCGTAATAAATGGATTACATGACTGATGAAATCCTGTTGCCTGTGGTAGTACATCACAACTAGGGTACGTCCATTGAATTACTGAGGAGAGAATCAGTTCCATAAATTCCACTGATTCTCTGATCCCACTCCTTGCTAAGAATTTCAACCAATGTGAAATAATATTGACGTTCCATGCAATTGCTCTTTTTTCTTAAAAAAAAGGTTACAGGGGATAAGTGGACACAGACATGATCTAAAACATGTGAAAATTATGGTGGAGAATAAGACATATGTCTGTTTTAGAGAGTAAATATTCCTTACATAAAATTCCAGGAGTGAGTTCAAACACAACACATATTTAATGACAACAGCGCAAAGAATTGTTTTGCCCTTGTTACAGTCACAGAAGAGTATGCATAATAACATTCTAGAAGTACAGTGCAAAAGTTCCTTACTTATAGCTTATGTCAAATGCAGTACTCGAAAATACTAAGAGAACAATTTTTCAAATAGATCCTTAGACACACTGGGTCAATCACACAGGTGAATAACAACAAGACTGCTTCTTGAGAGAATAAGCAATCCCTGGTTTAGACCAATACCATCATTGTAAAGAAATCAAAAATGTATGTATATAGGTTTTTCAGTAACTGATGCAAGTAATTTTGTTTAGTTTCTTTATTCACTTTCTCCAGCATTAACAGAAGACACAATACATGCTACTTAGCAATGTAATATTTGTTCCTTACTTGTCACAGACAGAGCAGTGATGACAACGGTCTGGTTTTACAAGTTGGCATCTGTCACAGTATCTGATAGCTGTAAGAGGAAGACACAAGTTAATAAATAAAACTTTATAACGAACAAGATCTGAAGAGAAAATACTTGCTCTGAACGCTTCCTAAACACTGTCAGGTTAGTGGTAAGAGGGAATTGAGGGGATAAGTTTAAACTCTAGAATGTTCCCAAGATGTTCTGCATAGGTGCAGAAGTACCCATGTGTGTGAATCATATAGACCACAATGAAGGAAAAAAAGCTTCTGCTTAATATTTGGGCTAATTTGTTGACATTCTCTTTTAAATATACCTGCTTTGCTGGTTCCAGAGACTGAAGCAAAAATTAGTAACAATAATAACATACAGTAGTGCCCCGCATGATGACGATAATCCGTCCTGGGAAAATCACTGTTTAGCGAAATTGTTGTCATGTGAAAACCCTTTCCCCATTGGAATGCATTGAAACCCGGTTTAATGCGTTCCAATGGGGAAAATACCTCACCGTCCAGTGAAGATCGCCCATAGGGAAGCCATTTTGCGAGCGCCGATCAGCTGTAAAAATGGCTGCCCTGCGAAGCATGGGTCCAGAAAAGACAGGGCAGCCATTTTGCGGAGCCAAAAAAATCGTCGTCTTGCGAACAAACGGTTTGCGAAGCATGAACCTAATCGATATCCAGCAAAAATCCCCCATTGGAATGACTGTTTTGCGAATCACTATAGCGATCACAAAAAGTCATTGTCATGTGGATTCGTCGTTTAGCGGGTTGTCGTTTAGCGAGGTACCACTGTAGACTGTTCTGTCAAGAGTCTCATGATTCTTTTTAAGGCAAAACTTCTTTTCAGGTCCTGACATTTTATCTTGTGCTTATCTACTCACGGGGTATTTATTAAAAAGTATATGTGTATGGAATTGTGGCTGTAACTTCCTAAAAATATAGAATTTCTAGCTGTATCTTAACAAAACAATCTACTGATTTTAACCACTAATCCCAAGCTGACTCTGCAGACATGGAGTTCTGGTAAATAACTGATAATCGTGTAAGATATGGTAGGTGGGTGGAGCAAGGTCTATGCCTTGTCCCTGACCCCACTTGTTGTTGTTGTTTAGTCATTAAGTTGTGTCCGACTCTTCATGACCCCATGGACCAGAGCATGTCAGGCCCTCCTGTCTTCCACTGCCTCCTGGAGTTGGATCAAATTCATGTTGGTAGTTTCAATGACACAGTCCAACCATCTCACCCTCTTTCGTCCCCTTCTCCTCTTGCCTTCACACTTTCCCAACATGAAGGGCTTTTCCAGGGAGTCTCCTCTTCTCATGAGGTGGCCAAAGTACTGGAACCTCAGCTTCAGTATCTGTCCTTCCAGTGAGCACTCAGGATTGATTTCCTTCAAAATGGATAGGTTTGATCTCTTTGCAGTCCAGGGGACTCTCAAGAGTCTCCTCGAGCATCACAATTCAAAACCATCAATTCTTTGGTGGTCAGCCTTCTTTATGGTTTAGCTCTCACTTCCGTACATCGCTACAAGGAAAAAACATAGCTTTGACTATGCGGACCTTTGTCAGCAAGGTGATGTCTCTGCTTGTTATCGCTTTCCTCCCAAGAAGCAGGAATCTTTTAATTTCATGGCTGCTGTCACCATCTGCAGTAATAATGGCGCCCAAGAAGGTAAAATCTGTCACTGCCTCCATATCTTCACCTTCTATTTGCCAGGAAGTGATGGGACCAGTGGCCATGATCTTAGGTTTTTGGGGGTTTTTTGGATGTTGAGCTTCAGACCATTTTTGGTGAACTCCTCTTTCACCCTCATTAAGAGGTTCTTTAATTCTTCCTCACTTTCTGCCATCAGAGTGGTATCATCTGCATATCTGAGGTTGTTGATATTTCTTCCGGCAATCTTAATTCCGGTTTGGGATTCCTCCAGTCCAGCCTTTCGCATGATGTATTCTGCATATAAGTTAAATAAGCAGGGAGACAATATACAGCCTTGTTGTACTCCTTTCCCAATTTTGAACCAATCAATTGTTCCATATCCAGTTCTAACTGTTGCTTCCTGTCCCACGTATAGATTTCTCAGGAGATAGATAAGGTGGTCAGGCACTCCCATTTCTTTAAGGACTTGCCATAGTTTTCTGTGGTCCACACAGTCAAAGGCTTTTGCATAGTCAATGAAGCAGAAGTAGATGTTGTTCTGAAACTCTCTGGATTCCTCCATAATTCAGCGCAAGTTAGCAATTTGGTCTCTATTTCCTCTGCCCCTTCGAAATCCAGCTTGTACTTTTGGGAGTTCTTGATCCACATACTGCTGAAGCTTACCTTGTAGGATTTTGAGTATAACCTTGCTAGAGTGTGAAATGAGTCCCTGACCCCACAGCAGCTGGTCAAAGCTACCATTAATTGCTTGACAGGAGCATGCTCAATCAGCCTCCAGCTAGTTTACCAATCTGGGGAACTCCCCACGCAGCACTGATCTGTAGCATGAATTTCACTTAGCTAGAGCTAGACACAGGGAAGCCTGTTTCTCTTATGTACAGACCCTCGCTGGATTTAAATGATTCCAATTTGCTTTGATTTTTTAGGTTGTGTTTTATTACCTTGTCTAGTCTGTTATCAAGGTCAAGACAGAGCAGGCATGCATAATTGAAACAGAAAACAGAGTGGCTATAACAACCTGAAGACAACTCATTCCAAAACTATGGACAGTGTTTCTCAGTAATTTAATATCACTAACCTATGGGTTAACACGGCCATTCCCAATGTAAGCTTTAAACCATATATAAGTATTCAACTGCCTGTCTTCTGATAGATGGTAAGATACAGCCAGACTTCACCCTTCACAAGTTTTTACCTCCAGACATTGTTCGTGTATAGATGGGGAGGTCCTTGGCTGCTCTCTTCAGCACTTCTTGATGGATTTCACTTCTAGGTTCTCTTTCTAACAATTCCTTATCTGCATAGCTCAGGTGAAACTAAGAAACAATACACTTGTTGATTAGTAGCATAACAGGTTAGTTTTACTGCTCTAAAAGAGAAAGTTAAGATGTACCAGATGATTTATGTCTGCCAAATCATGAGTGTAATCTGAAAAGGATTACAGATGACTCCATGTGTTTCTGATCTATAGTTTTGGGTTTCTAATACAGTGGTGCCCCGCATGACAACGATAATCTGTTCTGTCAAAATCACTGTACAGTGAAATCGTCGTCATGTGAAAAAAAACACCATTGGAATGCACTGAAAACTGGTTAATGCGTTCCAATGGGGAAAATACCTGCTCGTCCAGCGAAGATCCTCCATAGGGCGGTCATTTGGTGAGCGCCGATCAGCTGTTTTTAATGCCTGTCTTCTGAAACAAGGGTCAGAAAACAGTGGGATGCCATTTTAGAAACGCGACGATCAGCTGGGAAAATTGTCGTCTAGCGAAAAAACGGTTCCCGAAGCAGGGATCTAATCATTGTTAAGCAAAAAAAAAACCCATAGGAACCATCGTTTTGCAATCACTACAGCAATTGCAAAAAAGTCATCGTCAAGCAATTTTGTCGTCATGCGGGGTCGTCGTAATGCGGGGCACCACTTATATTACAGGGAGAGGGCAGGGGAAGGGAGAAGAAAACTATAAGGTATTGGAAAAGCAGCATGGGGAATGATACTAGAATGGGTCAGTAACGGGTGATCAGCTGTCATTGGGCCGACAGACATAATGCAGACCAATCTAGTAATTTCTTAAGTGTAAATGAAAAAATTGCAATAGGTTGTGCAAACAAAGTATGAGTCTACCAACAAGATTAGTACTTCAGCCACTCAGAGTCCATAATGCATATGTTGGCTCATTTAGTCACTCATACCAGCATTAGAAATTTGCTCTTGCTCTGAAGATGTTACATGACTTTAGATCAACAGTCAAAGAATTAAGTAGGAATACCCACCACGTGCAGTATTGTTTAAAAAAAAAGTATTTCTCAAGGACACGCTATGTGGAGATAACTTTCAGACCTGCCCTCAACAAACTTTCAAATTCAGATTATGAAACGAGACCTGGTCCCTAGGTACCATTGAGACATGTATGGAAAGTTCAGCATTCCTTATTGTTCTGATTGCCTGGAGAAAATTTAGGTTTTATACACAAAGGTAAAAATCACTGTTATTTCACATAAATTGTATGTTTTAAGTAAAAGTCTAATTGGCAGGCTTTCAACCCTTAAATTCCCCCAGCAAAAGACACTATAAAAATAACTTTTCCACATGTGCTCATTCAAATATAATAAAACCATTGATATATGAGTGATAGCAAATTATAGCATATATGAATGATAGTAAATAAAAGCACAATATTTTAGCAACCTATTAGTTTATAAAAAGAAGTTATAACACAATGTTTTTAAACTTAACATTTAGAATGTTAACATTTTGCAATGGTTTGTGCTATATATTAAGAATTGTTATATCATTTTACACACACACACACTCACGCACGCGCGCACGCGCACACACACAAACACACAAAATAGATGTGAATCTAATGTAACTAACTATATACAAGCATACTGAATAGGTAATGTCCAAAAAAAAAAAACCCATTACTTAATGGGGCCTCATGGTGCAGTGGTTAAATCGCTGTACTGCAGCTAAAACTGTGCTCACGACCTGGGGTTCAAATCCCAGGTAGCCGGCTCAAGGTTGACTCAGCCTTCTATCCTTCCGAGGTCGGTAAAATGAGTACCCAGCTTGCTGGGGGGACAATGTGTAGCCTGCATAATTAAATTGTAAACCGCCCAGAGAGTGCTTGAAGCACTATGGGGCGGTATATAAGCAGCACGCTTTTTTAATTTACTTCTCCATTAAACAACAAAATATTGGTATTTATTGAAAATCATTGCCTCTTTCCCACTGCATAATTAATATTAGCTCATGGCTCTTTTATTTTAGGACATGATAGAGTAGAAAACTTATCATAGCCCTGAATGCATTAACTGAGCAGCAAATTAGCAATGCAGAAGTGAGTCAAGAATCTAACACAACTGTATTACAATGGTACAGTGGTGCCTTGACTTATGAACTTAATCTGTAACGGAATGGTGTTCATAGGTCGAAATGCTCGTAGGTCGAAGCACCATTTCCCATTGAAATGCATGGGAACGCAATTAATCCGTTCCAGCATTTCAAAAAACAAACAAAAACAAAAACAAAAATTTAAAATACTGTACTGTAAAAACAGAAGTTTAAAAAAAAGCAGCACCTTTCCCCGCTGCCTCTGCCACTGCGGGAGGCGTGCCACCGGACCATGTTAGCCGGACTCTGCCTCCCATCCCTGCTGCCCTCTGTCTCCCGTCCCCGCTGCCCTCTGCCACCCATCCCCGCTGTCGCCTGTCCCCGCTGTCCTCTGCCTCCTGTCCCCGCTGCTCTCTGCCTCCCATCCCACTGCCCCATGGTGGAGGCAGCAGGGATGGGAGGCATGATCTGGTGGCTCACCTCTCGCAGCAGCGGAGGCAGTGGAGACGGGAGGCAGAGGGCAGCGGGGACAGGAAGCAGAGTCCAGCCATTATGGTCCGGCGGCTCACCTCCCACAGTGGTGGAGGCAGCAGGGATGGGAGGCAGAGGGCAGCAGCGACGGGAGTCAGAGCCCAGCCAGCATGGTCCGGCGACTCGCATCCCGCAGTGGCAGAGGCAGTGGGGACATGAGGCAGAGGGCAGCGGGGACAAGAGGCAGAGCCCAGCTGTTATGGTCCGGCAGCTCACCTCCCGCAGTGGCGGAGGCAGTGGGGACGGGAGGCAGAGCCCGGTCAGCATGGTCCAGCGGCTCACCTCCTGGCAGAGGCGGTGGTTTGAATTTCCTGTGTTTCTCCCCTGCCTTTTTTCCATTTGTACTTCGAAGCTCCGCTCGCAAAATTTTGCTTCGACTTGCGAGCGGAGCTATTCGTAATTCGAAATGTTCCTAGGTAGGGGCATTCATAGGTTGAGGCACCACTGTATAATGGTGCTTGTAATGTTTTCTGTATATTCATTTCTTAACTTTTCAGTAAGTAACCGAACAGGAAATATAAAGAGGAATGATAGCAACTAGAGATGGGCATGAAGTACTGGTTCAGCAGTTTGTGTCAGTTCAGCATATGGCCCAACAAATGTTCTGTGGTTCAGTGCCCTTTGGTGGGCACCCACTTGGAAGCAGTATCACAGCTTCTCTGCCCTATCTCCTCTGGGTACTCCCTCTGAGTGGGTGCTTACCGGAGCTGGTGGGGTGGTGAACCACAGAAAACTTGTTTCTCGATCCACCAAACCGGTACAATGCCAAACTAGCAATTTGTGCTCATATTTAATAGCAGCTATGTGAAATAGTCACTGGTATATAATATGAATATGGCAGAACATTTGTAGCACCAGCTGTGATTTGATACACACAGATGTAAATAAATAAATAATATATAAGCAAGCAAACAAAACAAAACTGTATGTTGCTAACTGGAGGACTCCAAATCAGTAGGAAGTAGAGCTACACATACTGAATTCCTACAGGATGTTATTTTCTCCTCATACACTTGCAAACTACATTCCAGAAACAAAATTCACTAACTTTTTTTTTGGTGCATCAAATGGTCACTTACTTCTTTGGAAGGATTCATTGGTAATGTAAAGATTGTTTTCCAATAAGACCACAAAAACATGATGAAAAATAGATGATACGCAATCAGGCACACCACTAAAAAAAATAATAACATGAAGGCATTAAACAAATGGCAATGTCAGAGATATGTATAGAACAAGAATCAGCCATATGTACAGTGGTGCCTCGCTTGACAATGTTAATTTGTTCCAGCAAAATCGCTGTATAGCGAAAACATCGTCAAACAAAATAAAAAAACCCCATTGAAACGCACTGAAAACCGTTCAATGCATTCCAATGGGCTGAATACCTGCTCGTCCAGTGAAGATCCTCCATACGGTGGCCATTTTCGGTGCCTGTAAAGCGAGGAATCCGTCCTAGAAAACAGCCGGGGGTAATTTTCTTCAGCTGGCAGCCATTTTGAAACCCGATGATCAGCTGTTTGCTGATTGTCGTAAAGCGAAAATTGCTTCCCACAGCAGGGAACCGATCATCATTAAATGAAAAAAACCCATTTAAACCATCATTTTGCGATCGCAAAATCTTCATTGTATAGCTATTTCCTCATTTAGCGAGGCAATCGTTAAGCGAGGCACCACTGTACTCAATTACTCAAAATACGTAGGAAACAATGTCATTAAGATAAAGTATAAATAAAGTCTTCTTTTGAAAACAAAGAGGTTTGTTTCATTTGACTCGTAGCAGACACTGGTTTATTTTTACTATGCTTAGAGAAAGATTCCTTTCAGATCTGTCAGTAACTCTTCTAGCAGTGGGTCATAAACTCAAGAACTGCTGATTCCGATACAATGTTAAATCAAAAACAAACAGAGCTACCAAAGTTTTCTCCGAATGTTGGGGGCAACTGTGGTGGTTTCAGGAACCCTGGCTGCTATTGCCCAGTGGTGGGGCCCCTTATGAAGTGGGTCCAATGCCATCTCCTAGAAACAGAAAGTGCCCTCTCTGACCTGGCCAGTGCCTGAATAAGTCACTGCCTGGGAATTCTATCCATGTGAATTCTTCATAGAAGACCGGCAGACTATAAATAAAAATAAACAAATGCTTACCCTTTTCTCCAATATTTGTCATTGTAACTGCAAGAGAGAGAGAGAAACAAAGTGAAAAATAATAGGTACCATTATTTGGAAACAGATATGACTCTCATTTTATTAAGCTAATACAGTATATACATTTCCTTGGTTGGTAATATAACCATATCAAATTTGCTTTTGTGTACATTTAAAACTGGCATGCTATCTTTTGAATAAGACCTGGGAAAATACATTTATATTTGTAAGGTTTCTAAGCAACTTCCTACCACCAAAATAAAAGATGGTCATGATCTGTTACATCTTCACTCCTTTTCTCATAAATAAAGCAGGACATTGAGAGAAAATACTGTACTTTCTTTCGAACAAATGATTTGGTTCTCCTGCAAAACAAATTGCCTCAGCACAAAAGAAGGCAGTGAACTGTTGCTTGACAGCACCTTAAAATGTCTCTAACTCCTTATTCTAAGTGCCCACTTCAGAGCTGTAAGCGATTTTCAGTAGAGAGGATCATAACGCACACAAAGACTGCACAAGCATACTGCAAATCACCCTGTAAGAATGTTTACAGATTCACAGTTATTGCATGCTCCATAGATAGCGAGTCAATAGAGTGACCAACAAAAAACTGCAAAAAAGTATAAAATGATTGCCATTATACATCTTAACGATTACATCCACTATTACCGTTATTGAAGAGCCAATATTACTCAAACTTGCCTATGCTTAGCCTCATTTCCAAACTTTATCTGCAAAATGGGAGAAATCACACTGACCTGACTCAGGTCAGGGATGTCATAAGGAAAAGTGCATTCTGTGCTCAAACGTGTTTAAAATTCTATGTACTGTTTTTAGTAATGATACTATATAATCATAACAAGGACAAAATTTATAGTATTCCAGAGTAACTTCCCTCTGATAAGTGATCTAGCTCTGTTTTTAAACACTGGTCGAAGTCCAGGACCTTCAGGAAATTGCAAAAGGTTTCCAATCTTTGCCATACATCTAATTTATTATTATTATTTTTAACAGTAATGCAATCTCATGTATAACATCTCAAAAGTAGGTACCACTGAGTAACTTCAGTGGGATATTTATGGACAAGTGAGTTTAGAACGGAGAACATCTTGAAAAATAAAGAAATGATAAAAGAAGGCACATACACACTTTCTCTCACTTACTGAGTCATAAAACTTAGCTTGGCAGCACTTGCTCCTACTTAAGGCAAAATATTTTTAGAAAATACAAAACTGCACAAGGAAGGGAATGAGCCTTCACCGCCTTCCTTTAACAAATGTTTAGATTGTTCTAGCATTCATGGTTCAGCTCTGTCACCAGCTCTGTCGCTGCGCTTAACAACAATACTACCGATACTTGCATGATTATGCACAGCACTGTACATGCAGCATAGAGCTTCTTGTGTCACTTTTAAGATCATGAGACCTGAATATGAAGTGTCAAGCACAACTGAAACTTCACTCTTTGGCTAAATGAACTGAGAGATGGTAGCAAGTTATTTTCTCACAGAACAGTGGGGCTAGTAACTGCACCTTTTGCCTAAACTTTTGGATTCAATACAGCCGGAGAACGACTTTTTAAAAACAGCTGAGAGTCTAGGCCAGCTAAACTGCAAAGTGGCAAAGCTAATATCCAACCTCAGCCAACTAGGCCGTATAGGACCTGTACCTTCCATTACTGTATTTTCTTTCTCCATTGTTCTATCTATCTCAATTCTGAATGACAAGTGCATTTTCATCCTTTCCTTCTCCCCGGTGTCCTCCCCACACACACCAGACAGCAGGAATTCACATTTTATACATGTGAGAGCAACTGCATGTACGTACTTTGAGTCAAGAATTAGCAAGGTTCTTCAGGCAGCCTGGTCACACACAAGTTGCACCTGTCCTGTTCCAGTAGTGAAAGGGTCAGAAGTCAAAATTTAAGTAACTTGATCCTTCAGTGCCCCATATCAAACAAGATGCAGGCCTCTGGACCAAACTTTAAATCTTCCTGTTCTTGAAGATCCCTGCTCTTAAGCAGTCTTTTTACTACTAAGGAACATGGTATCCAGCACTAAGTGTCACTATGTGGTACTGTAGGCAACAGGTAGAGTCTACTTAAATACAATTAAATAATAAAATTTAAAACTATAGTAACCCCAAGTCATATACTCTCATGGTCCCCTTAGTATGCACGCCAAGCTTCAAGTGTCCAGGTCTCATATACTGGAGCTACGCTAGAGGGGCAGAAAAGGACAGGCAGAGACATACATTCATTTTTACAAGTATTATAGCAGATAAATGGGTAATGTTACTTAAACCTATCAACAGTGAAATGCATTTCTGAATATAACTGGACCAGATATGTGTGTGTAGAACTGCAGGTGAAATGTTTTCATAAACAACAAATGGGCACATATGCAAACTAATACAGGGATAGTTTGACATAGAACATAATGGCCACACCAAATCATAACGTTCAGTCTGTTTCTCCCTGGTAAACAAACTGGACCGTTTCAACTCCAAGGATGTACATGTGCACACTCTCCAAGCCAGCACATGTGCACCCTCACCCCAAAACCTGGGGGGTGCTTTATTTATCAGGGAGCAATGGACTGAGAGTTACATTTTGACTTATGATAAGCAATAGGATTTCAGCCAATATTTGAAGTATTTCAAAGACAGCTGAAAAGCTAAGTAAGAAATACTGTATAAAAACAACACTTTTTCCTAAAATAATTAGAGGAAAAATTGAGGGTCGTTTTATACATGGAAGGCAGCAGGAGGAGGCGGAGACTGAGGCAAAGAAGCAGCCGGGCTCGACCATCTCTCACAGCTGCCCATTGACTGCTGCTGCCGCTGGCGAATTGCCACCTCCTCCTGCTAGGGCTTACTTCTAGCTCATATCGCCACCTTGTCCCCTGCCCAAAGGAGATGATCACTGGAGGAGGCGATCCAGAGGCGGTGGAAGCAGTCAATGGGCAGCAGTGAGAGGTGGCCAAGCGCGGCCGCTTCTTTGCCTCTGTCTCCACCTCCTGCTGCAGTCTCCTCTAGCGCCAGTTGCGGGCTCAGCAGGAGAAAGTGGAGATTGAGGCAAAGAAGCAGCCATGCTTGGCCACCACTCGCTGCTGCCTGTTGACTGCTCCTCTGCCTCTGGCAAGGGTAAAAATTAGGGGGTCATCCTATACATTGGGGGTTGTACACACAGAAAAATACGGTAGATAACACTGGAAATAAGAGATACATTAATACCTCACTGCTTTGTCTCCTTTGGAAACTAATCAACAGGACATTTTGATCTTGAAGTCCTACATGTGCTCTAAAACCTAATCTGAAAGGCAGAGAAACTTTCTGGATCAGGGTTTTAGCTTTAAGAAAAGCTGCAGTGGATTGGGAAACAAAGCCTTCGTGCTAGTACAATACTGGATTTAAACCTGTCTTTTAAATAAGAACCTGCTCATGTTACTGACCTAATCACACTTATATGTACTTTTTACAAAGGAAGATGAGAACTGAAATGAATAAATGACAATATCAATTAAATAATTCGATAAAGAGAAATATACAGAACTAAAAAAAGTATGAGTACTTTACAGCAATACATATGGAAACTGTTGAAGAGAAATTTCTAGTTGTAAGACCTGTGTGAAGTGACTTGTAACATGTGCATACAAGAAAAATAAGCATCATCGTGTTAACGACAGCTGATAGAGAACAAAAAGACAGATACTCAATTACTATATATTTTGTAGTGTGTGTGTGTGTGTGTGTGTGTGTGTGTGTGTGTGTGTGTGTGTGTGTGTGTTCTCTCTAATAAGGGCTTTCAAGGTAAGTAAGATATTTAAGGAGTAGTTTGACCAGTTCCACTCCTCCAGTGACTTTCAGAATGCTATTCTCTAGATTCCTAGTCTGCCACTTTGTCCACTGCACCACAATTAGATATTAGCAATTGTGAAAATTAAGAAATGTGAAAAGTCATGTACTCCTACTTTTCTATGAACTTTTTTTAAAAAAAGTTTTGCATCTTGGAGAAAAACTGTGATTACCATTAGTTATTTATAACTGCACATAACATATAGATTGAGCTGAACAAAAACAAGACTCAAATATACTGTAGTCAAGATGGCTGTGACGATCGCCCACATCACTCCTGCCATTCATATTCATGAGCTGATTTGCATGAACCTATGAGAGGACTGGAGAGGCGGAGTCAGCAGCTACATGACATTTGGCGGGAGGAGGAGGAAGTCAGATAGGGCTGGTTAGTCAGAGAGAGGGAACAGATACTGAGAGATAGAGCTGGTTAGAAAAATAGGTAGAGAACGTGGTAATGATATAGCAAGAGAAAAGAAGTATGTGCTGAGAGAACTATTCATAATTTGCTTATGTATAATGTGTATCTGAAACACTTCTGCTATTATTCAATCTGCTTCACTTCAATAAATAAATTCTGTTTCTGTTCACAAGACAAGTGTTCAGACAAACGTCATTTATATTGTGACTGAGGTAATCCACTGGTGACAGCAAGAAGTAAACGCAATGTGAGCCTTTGTGAAGGAAAGACAAGCAGGGGCCACAAGGGCAAACACCACAACGGCTAACATTGGAAATCCAACTACCTAAATTATCTAAACACCCAGTGGTTTAGGGCCAGAGATAGAACTATTTCATGTTGGTTCATGCCCCACAGAGGCAGAAAACTGGAAGCTAAGACTGATGCCTTAAAACAGTGGTCCCCAACCTTGGGCCTCCAGATGTTCTTGGACTTCAACTCCCAGAAATCCTGGGCAGCAGAGGCAGTGATGAAGGCTTCTGGGAGTTGTAGTCCAAGAACATCTGGAGGCCCAAGGTTGGGGACCAGTGCCTTAAAAGACATGCCTTGCCATTTAGGAATGATGTTGTGCAATGTCACAAATTGTGCTTGCTTACAAATCATCCCCACATGCACCAGCAATCTGTCCAGGTCTTTCAGGCCTAAATCCTGATCATAATGTTTTTAAGATCCACAAGTTGCTCCATCTCGTCCTGGTCCTTGCCTTGTGAAGC